AGAGAAATATTGTAACACACTTGTTGCAGTTTAGGAATGTATATATCTCTTAGTATGTTGAATCTACCATATACATTTCATGGCACATTGGTTCTACTGTTATGATTTTTTTGAAGATTACTATACATATTTACAGGTTTTCTATCGATAGTTTTCAGACAAATAAACAAAATTTATTGTGGATAATGTTTTCCTTTTGAAGCGACAGGAATATGCATTCACATTCTTTATAAAACTAACATCCATTGTCTCTTTATTTCTATGAACTTCTTTTTTTCTCTCTATTTCTATTGATTGGATATACATTTTGTATGGAACAATTAAGCATGTTGTATGATGTTTATAATATCAAAGTTTGAAAAAAGCATACTGTAAGTATGTTGCATATGTTGCAGTTGTATTCTTTTCTTTTTTTTGGTTAGAAGTTGAATTCAACTTTTTTCTTCCTTTATGAAATTAAATGTGTTACGATTGCCAATAGGACAACTATCCACCAAAGTTCAAATGAATGGATATAAGCAATCCTATACAATCGTGGTCCCTTCATCAACGAGAAAAATCAGTAAAGTCGGCTATTAAAGGCCCTGACTTGAACAAAATGAAGCAATTTAATTGGCCAAATGCATAACAAAACAGTTAACAAAAAAAAAAAAGGACAGACATTTCAGAATCTTTTTAAGAATAGCCCCTTAAATTCCGCTCACATCCAATATCTCAAAAATGTTCTCGAAAAAAATTCAGATAATTCTAAGGATTTGGGTCATAACAACTTATCCATATCCCTACTTGAATTTAATTTTTATCCATCACGTGTACATACATATATTATAAATATTTATACTGCACTCGTTCTATATGAGTAGTTAAAATGCGTTGACTGTATATGTCTATGTCATATACAGTCACTGACCCGATATCACTTTTTCTCATGAAGATTTGAATAGTAGAGCCGGAACTTTACTTAAATATTCATGACGACTGCTTCAACCTGTCATAGTTTCCAATGTATACTACGAAGCGTGGAACGACTCGAGCTTGTTTCTTTAACAATTGTTAGAAAAACATATTTCACTAGTTAATATTTTTTGTTTAAAACCTATAAATCATTATATTTTATGCTTATTGTTGATATTTTTGTCGATACTTAAACGATTTTGTTCAACATCGATTGGTTTCATCAGGTAATGTGCATTTCATTGTGTTATATATTCTCCGCCAGATGTGGCGCCTTTTAAAGGGGTATTTTTCCGAATATTTAAATCAAATGAATTACAATAACACAATAAACAACAATTCAACATGTATTTTTCTATATTGCAGTATAAAGACAGAGCCTTGCATTTCCTTGTTTCTAAACCTCATCCTTATATCGTTGATATGTCAAGTCAATACACTATTATTGTCTATGAATCATAGTATGTTGAATACAGTTTTTTTATCGTTTCTAAAAAAGCAATGTATTTTTAATGCTACTTACTGAAGTTAGCATGTCTCCATTTTGCATTTTGATATACGACGTTGAATGGATAAAGAACAAATTAAGTTCAATACATAAGATAAGTTAAATTGTTGGTAATACTCCAATGCACACAAACAGCTGTAAAATCGATTTGCTATAACCAGACAGAAAACTTTAAATAACCTTTATAAGGTAAAAATTAACATAGGAAAATCATTGAATAATCATTAAATAATCTTAAGGCCGTGTTCACACCAAACGCGATGTACAGTAAACATGTTTACAATTAGTTTAATGTAATGTACACTGGTTTCACATTAAGTTTGTTCACATCAATACACCCGGTTTAATTACCTGTACATAAGATTTGTTCACACTAGTAAACTGTATGTCATTTAAATGCTCATTACATAGAATTGAATTTAAATTTCTTGGACAATTTTTCTAGCAGTTAGGGAACGATCATATGACTTAACATAAAGAGGGGTATGGTTTTTTTTCCCTTTAAAAATATTCTGATCCCCTATTTTATAAAAAAAATATTCTGGTCAAGTAGATGACAAAAAAAATATTCTGAATCCTGATTTTCCCCATACCTTAATTATAGTGTCAAATATTGAAAAAAAAAAATTGATTGATAGCGTAGAAAAAAAATGAATAAAATCGTCCGCGCGAAAGAAATTTCGGACTCAGAAAAAAGCCCATAACACTCCACCCCACCCCCTTTTTTATTTTTTTTATTTATTTCTATGTGCATTTTACCGGATCTGAGATACTAGCCAAACAATACAATTTACAGCATACTCTTTTTAGTAATGCATTTATGAGGGAATCGTTGATTGAGTAAATACCAGTGGCAAATATTTCTGTGTACGTCCAGTCTATTCGGGAAGATATTTTCAAATTTGAGTCTTGATTAGGGGTTAATAAAGCTACCTAAAGTTGTTGTTTTTCATAACAAAGCAATAGATTAAGTTTAGACAAATAATCATATAAAGAACTTTATTAATAATTGTTATAAATATCTATTTTATTAAAAAAAAAAGTTTCTTTTTTTAATATACATGGTACAATTCACGTTCTGAATACCTAGTTTTGTGAACACTTAACCCACACAAGGCCTACATTGACTATCGACTGCATGTAGACAAAACATGATTTAAACCACATGTAAACATTGAGTTTTATCAATGGGAACGTACTTGTGTTTAGTTTACGTGTGAATTACACTAACACAACATCGAGTTTAGGTCAATGTTAACACGGCCTTACACAATAAAACTTACTCAATCAATCAAAATAACATTAGATAAAAAAAATTTGCAAGAAATGAGACCTTAGTTTTAGCGTAAAAGTAACGTTAAATGTACAGTCAAAAGTAAAATCACAAAAATACTGAACTCCGAGGAAAATTCAAAACCGAAAGTCCCTAATCTAATGGCAAAATCACATGATAAAACACATCAAACGAATGGACAACAACTGTCATATTCTTGAATAGGTACAGGCATTCTCAAATGTAGAAAATGGTCGATTGAACCTGGTTTTATAGCGCTAAACCTCTCACTTGTATGACAGTCGCATCAAATTCCATTATATTTGTAACAATGCGTGAACAAAACAGACACAATAGGTAAAACTGTCAAAATAGGGATACAGCCATCATCACCGTGTCACAATCTCAATCAGAACAAATACAAACAAATATATAACAAAGAAGCACAAAAAAAGGAAATATAAAAGTTAACAACCACATGCATTGCTACTAATATATGTATTTAAAATCAACCCAAATAACTGCATGGCGCGGTTCGCATCAACTCGAGTAGAGAGTCGCTTGTCTGATGTTACTGAATGTTACGTCACACAGGAAGAGATATAAAATAATTTTGTCGTTCAAAAGTATTTTCAATATTATAATAAAACAATAACATAAAGACATTATAAGAGAACAATAACATATGTGGTGGGATGTTAAAAGTACAAAAAATGCACTCTACTATATAAACAAATACGGAAGCACTGGCGATATTGAACTGGTCTTTTCATACCGAACTGGCCAACAAAAACATTAAATAATCAAAAAAGACAAATAAATAATAATCCATATGAAATTTACAATTTGATGCGAACCGTATGGTCTTCCATATCTTTTTTGCTTTGAAAAAAAACCTGTTAATGTGTTTTTATATATTATACAAATGTATCATGCTTACAAGGGGTATTTTTAGCAAATACCCCTTGTCACCATGATATAATTGTTTAATTCCATCGAATGTTCTTTGTTTCCATCTTGACCGTAGAATTATATTGTTTTCATATGGGTTTTTTGCTTGACTGAATTTATATAATGTTTATATATACTGCAGCTGTGCCGTAAAATTGCATTGACCGCATAACAATATCTGGTGTACAGTCACTGACCGTAGGCCTTTACATCGCATTATGTATAAAGTTTCCGAGGAGTTTCATTGATGAAGTCATTAAAAGTACAGGTTCACGGCATTTTTATGCTATTTGCTCCAAATTCAAATATGATTTTTTCCCCTAAATATTTCATTTGGAGCAGTTGTAGGAGTCGCAATATATAATAAACAACCATTAATTTGTCCTAATCGAATAGAAATAATACATGTGGTTACTTGTAGACATGGTATTCCCCATCTGCCATGATATTTGCTATCCCTAATGACAAATACACCGGCAGAGAAAAGAAAATCTCAATAGAAATTTGGTGAAAAATACCATGTCTCTCATCCAATCAAAATACAGCATTATTTCATAAGGTGGAATTATACAATTAATCTCTGTCTGCATTTATAAAATCAAAGGAAAAGGGTCATATTTAAATTCATCATCAAAGTGACAGCTAGATCTTTTTCACAGAGCAAAAGTTACATCTTAGTGCAGGTTTAAATTCGACCTAAGCACTGGAACCCCTTTGCTTAATATTGTATGTCTTACATCAGAGATATACGAATGCAGTAAATAATAAACATAGCATAACCGACAAATAAGTCTAACACTTACTGTCATAATTTAATTGGCAATCTGTTACCAGATTTAAAGTTTTGTATGTTACTTTATATATTTTTAACCCGTTGAAATTAAATTGCAAATTAAAGCTCAAGTGTATTTAAGTCACACTCAATTATCAATTTTACCAAATAAATGTAATCTATCTGACCATTTCTTTTTGTTTCAGGGGGAAAAAGGGGGAGAGGGAATTAAAGCTTGTTGCTAGTCTAACACAAAGGACAAATATAATCATAATGAGTATTTTAAGTTTATCATAGTTATGAATTAACCAATGAGCTTTTTTTTTTAGATATTAAAGCGTAATTAAAAATCTTTTGAGTATCGTTCTATTTATATCAGATATAAAAATAATGTATTTTCGTGATATAATATGATTATTGGTATTGTTTCTGTTTATTTTATTGGATGTCGTGTGATGTCATGGTTTTCCGTCCTGAGTATGCATGACATACTTGCCACTCGAAGTTACACCTAGGAATCCAAGAAACCTTTAGTCACTTACCTGATTCACATGTATTAAACTACTTGAAGACTAATGAATTGCTGTTTAACTTCTAATAATCCTTTTTTTTTCAATAGAAGTGTCTCCCAGAATATTCATTATAACATACCTTCCTGTTGTTAAGAATGTTTATACACCTTTAACTTATACAAAGTCTGCATTGACACTCGATCTGCAATTAAAACATAATTTAAACTTCATGTAATCATTGATTTGTATCATAGTGAATGAATTTTAGTTTATTTGACGTGTTGGGAACACCGATATCACACTGAGTAAATTATTAAAGAACAGAAGTTTCACTATTATCTACTGGGAACTTTTCTCACGTAATATTTTCTCCAAAGTTTTATTAAAAGAGGATAAAATATTACATAATGAATATTAAACTTTTGTTATTTATTAAAAGTTCTTTGGACTAAATATTTTGGACTATGTTTTAAAATTTAAAGTACCAAAATAACATCAAATAGTGGTTACATGTATCATTGAACACATTTTTTTTATCAAACAATACCAACATCAACATGTTAAAGCTTAATGATGCATTGAAAATCAGAATCAGTCATATACATATGTTAAAAAAGTTTACATGTTGGAAAACATGCCAAAATAGTACTAATGTTGAGCAAAATTTATTATAGGATGTTTACGAGGATGTAATAGACTGAAATTTGTAATTTATTATGTGATATTCTCATTTGACCTTGAAAATAAATATCAATAAAGACTAGTACTAACAGTTTATTACGTTTTGACAAAACTCATTGAAGGATGTGGATATTACATTGGTAAACGCATCAGGAATTTTTGTTATGTTATCATGACTCATGACACTCTTTCTTTAAAGGAACAAATATTATGAAACCATATGATCACGGTAGGTATAGTGTCCGGCTAGGATAGTGGTTTTTCGAGTGAATCTGTCCATTTTTTACGAGTGTGGATCGGGCTTTTTCGAGTGATAAAACATGCGATCAGGTCAATTAACTACTAATTCGTAATTATAATAGTTTTTTATGTGACTACCCATCTTATTTTAAATACTATACATGTTTTGAGTAGCAAAGAAGCACAATTTCCTTGTATTTAACCATTAAATTCAGTGTTTGTTATTGTCCTGGCTTTTTCGAGAGGAACTGTGAAACCGTCCTGGTTTTTAAACAAATGGTCCGGGTTTTTTAACGAAAACTTTAATAAGAAAAAAGTTATTTCTGACTTAAAAAAATGATTTTTCTAGTATATAAATGTAATTTAATGAATGAAAATATCATATATTCTCAATAAATCACCAAAACATATTACTACGTTGATCCAAATTAACCTTTTTCAATTTAATGCAAGTTTTCTGTTCGGAAAACGTTCTACCACAACTTTCCCGTATTAAATTAGAAATTATTGGACCCTTTATAAAAAGGTCTTAAGAACATAGTGCAGGAGACTCTTAATCTTTTCAACTTCATTTTATGGTATTTTTGTTGTCACAGTTAATAATATTTTTCGTGGTGAACCCCGGAGTTTTAATACGGTACGTATTATGGTCAGCATGTCGGACAAAACTGAAAAACGCTGTAACCAATTTACATGAACCTTCGAAGAATTGTTTATATCTATTGAGGTATCCTCCCTTTCGAATTTTATAAATTATAGATTTTACGTTTTCGAGTTATAGGATTTCATTAAACAAACTAGAGGCTCTAAAGAGCCTGTGTCGCTCACCTTGGTCTATGTGCTACATTGCATATTAAACAATGGACACTCTTCTACATTAAAGACAAGAATATAATTCATGACAAAATTCTCTGTTTTGGTGATGGTAACTTGTTTGTAGATCTTAATTTACTGAACTTTCTTGCTGTTTACAGTTATCTCTATCTATAATGAACTTGTTCCATAAGTATCAGAGAAGATTTCTGTAAAAAAAATGTTTGCACATGATCCGCTATCCTTAACATTAAAATACAGTTATTAAGCTGCTCAGATTGTGATCTTTTCAACAGCAATTAAAACTCTAGACGTATATATCTGAGCATCACGGGACGACACAATGTAAAAATTAACGGACGAAGACGGACAACGACGGACGCCAAGTGATGAGAAAAGTTCACTTGACCTTTAGGGCCAGGTGAGCTAAAAAGGGGTGATTTTACAGTTTTCGGACAATATTTTTAAAGTGCTTTGAGGGGTTTTCATGTAACTTTGGTGACTGCTTTATATAGATTAAGGTTACCTCCCTTTTAGTTTTTTTAATAAATTTTTGATATGACATTGAAAAATTATTTATAGGTTTCATAACGAGTGATAATGGATATCGCTTGATATCAACTTGAGTTATTTAATTTCAATATAATATCAAACGATGCTCCGGCGAGTTTATTATTACTATTTGAATTAAATAACGAGAGGAAATTACTTACTTACTTACTCACTTGAATAAAATAACGAGAGTTGATATCAAGCGATACCCCATTCTCACAAGTTGTTAACCCTATTTGTCTTATTCCGCAAATCGATGGTATAGTATTTTGCACATGAAATGTACATCGTCGTAACCGTTGATGGTCATCAATAACCTAACGAATAGCCAATGGAAATGCCGTAATATCGTCTTATGATGCTGGATAAGCAAAACAAATCAACTCAGATTTTTGTATCACTTTTTCGTATCACACTCCGTGCAGTGTGATATGAGAAATGTCTATTCATGCAAGAAATATATAATAAGCCACAACCATAAGAGAATGAACTTTATTCTTTGAAAACGCGACGGGCGTATCATGCGCCTATGGCGCAGCTGTTTATTAAAAAACGGAGTAAGAAACCTACTGGACAGCAGAGAAGAATCAGAAAAATGCATTTGTTTTTGTTAGATGTATTTCTATTTGTATCCATCTGATGAGTTAAGCCTCTTTCAACTGATTTTTATAGTTCGTTCTTATGTTGTACTGTTACACCACTGTCCCAGGTTAGGGGGAGGGTTGGGATCCCGCTAACATGTTTAACCCCACCACATTCTGTATGTATGTGCCTGTCCCAAGTCAGGAGCCTGTTATTAAGTGGTGGACGTTTGTTGATGTGTACATATTTGTTTTTCGTTTATTTTTTTTACATAAATTAGGCCGTTAGCTTTCTCGTTTGAATTGTTTTACGTTTGTCATTTCGAGGCCTTTTATAGCTGACTATGCGGTATGGGCTTTGCTCATTGTTGAAGGCCGTACGGTGACCTATAGTTGTTAATTTCTGTGTCATTTGGTCTCTTGTGGATAGTTGTCTCATTGGCAACCATACCACATCTTCTTTTTTATATTAGATATGAAAATGCAATTATAGGCGAACACACACACACAATAAAAAAGCTAAATTCGAGAAAGGGATTGAAACATTCCTTCACCTCAAATGATTTCTTCATTTTTTTAAAGGAATTTTCAGTCAATAACCATTAATTTAGGTAAGTTAAGAAAGAAAGAAAAAGAAAAGAAAGAAATACGTATTTAAAACAAAATAATTCCTCCGCATAGCTTTAATTTGTTAATAAGTAAACTTGGTGCCCTATAGTTGTTAATTTCTGTTTCATGTGGTCTCTTGTGGAGAGTTGTCTCATTGAAAATCTAACTACAAATTCTTGTTGAAGGCCTTACGGTGAGCTATAGTTGTTAATTTGTGTGTCATTTGGTCTCTTGTGGAAAGTTGTCTCATTATCTTTTTTTTTATATGTAATAAAAAATACTACTAAAAGACACTTAATCCGACCAGTTTTTATTCCCATTGACAATAACATCTGAATTAAATTTCATATATAGTTAACAATGAAATGAATAATTCATCAGCTTAATTCACTCTTTGCACGTACGTCTCAATCCAAATTGTCTTTGCTTACATTAAATTGTTGACATCATGAATATATACTGTACATGTAATTTATTAGATGTGACAAACAACAATATATACAGATGGCTGATACTTGTTTATAAAGTCTAAGTGTTAGTACACCTTAAATAAACTGATGAATGCATTGGTTTCGTGCCTTAAAAAGTACATAATTTGAACCCTTTTTTATTGTTTTAAACGTGAATACACTGACACACAACATTCTAAGCTATAGGAAATTTGTATAATCACTCGATAAAACACGGACGCACTCGAAAAAGCCCGGACTGCTCTCGAAAAAACCCGAACACATAGAAATGAATTTAGTCTCAAAATATCGTTTTTCAATGCAACAACAAGAATTTTTGTAAAGTGTCTGTATATCTAAGGATATATGGATTCCATGTATGCATTGCCATCGACGTTTGCATTGGTATGTGTATACAAATGGCTTTATTCTGTTTTTTGGAATAAAAGCATTGTAAGGCTAAATTCAACTTTTTGAACGAAAAATAATGTCGGATTGATAATATCTTTTTATCTCAAATACTAACACACCTTGTATATCCTTGTATATTAAACTCAAGCTTCTAGATCACGTCTTTTCAGAAAGTAAGTCTGTTTGTTTACATTTTTAATCATATTCACTCGAAAAAAAGTGGTCACACTCGAAAAAACCCGATCAAATCACTCGAAAAACCACGATCCTAGCCGGACACTATACCTACCGTGATGATGTTTAAATTTTAAGAAAATTGTTATAATTAAGAGTAGTTTTGTTCCATTTGGAACAAGTATTATGGGGGGGGGGGGCAAATGTATGTTCATACCACCACCTCCACAATAAAAGATGATGGTAGATTTTTTAAGAACTCTTCTTAATATTGTTGATTATTTGAGAGTGCTGAAGATGTCACGATTGCTACATTGCCGTATTATAATAATTAGATATAGGAAGATGTGGTATGAGTGCCAATGAGACAACTCTCCACCCAAGTTACAATTTAAAAAAGTAAATCATTATAGGTCAAGGTACGGCCTTCAACACGGAGCATTGACTCACACCGAACAGCAAGCTATAAAGGGCCCCAAAAAATTACTAGTGTAAAACCATTCAAACGGAAAAACCAACGGTCTAATCTATATAAAAACGAGAAACGAGAAACACGTATGAACTACATAAACAGACGACAACTACTGTAATCAGATTCCTGTTCACTTAACCCCAACAAGGCCTTCACTTGAATATAGATTGTATATATCTGTTTGAACCTGATTTATACTACATGTAAACGAAATGGAG